ATATAATCTCCAAACTTTTCCCTTTCATCTCAAAAACTCTGGGATGGATGCATTTTTTGTAATGTGTTAGCCTGCTACTGCTATCATGAAGATGTCCCTGCCTTTTAACACAATGAATATATTCATCACTCAAGTACCAACTTTTAGGAATATACCAATAAGGGGCTATTTATGATTCCTGCTCACACGGTGACTCTGGCTCATGTGATCTTAGTTATAGGCAGGAATCGACAGTGCTGTGTTTTACCTGCTGTCCTGTATTTCTCTGCTCCCAGATAATTCTTCGTCTGTCTGAAAATCTAGGTCACCTCATCCATACTACTCGGTGGTCCAATGACCCTCAAATCATGCCAGATTTGCCTAAGTCATTCATTCATCCAGACCTTCAAGTACAGTGACTGAGTTATATTTTGGTCAACTTTAAAGGTTGAAAATAATCTAAACCTCTTCAGTTGAACTGCTCTGGGTTAGAGTCCCCTGGAAAGGCTGTGTTTCTCTGGCTCCCTGTTAGACAAGGTTTTGTCCTTGGTTTTAATCAAAGATGTTTTAGCCGAGGCTGCTGTGTATAAGCTCTTCTTTTGGAGGTTGGAGAATGGACCGATGTGGGTACGTGGTTCCATGAGAGCTGTCTCTAGGATGGCTGGGTATCTATGAGTAAGTCTCGGTGAGTATTTGCCTAAAAGGACCAAAGGGCAGTGTGGGTTGCTAAAGTCCCTGGACTGGGTTCAGGAGACATTGGTAGTGGTAGGAGATATGGACACACAAAGAGATGTGTATACACCCCGCCCCCATGTGAAGCAAAATCATGGCAGTAAGAGATCCACGGCAAGAAATCAAAGACTGTTGCTGAGAGGCACAAAATATCCCTGAATCCTGCATCATTGCCTTGGACCTGGAGATCCTTAGATACTTGTTCATGTGCTCTTGTTGGGAAGAGGCCATGCTCCGCTTCAGGTATTCTGACTTTATATTAACTCGGAGAGCTAATGCATTTTCCCTTTCCCGCCAACCCTATTCCTCCTTTCTCATGACCTTTTACACCAAGGATATTTCTTGCCTCTTGATTAGAACTCAAATGAATCCTCAAGTCTTATCTTCTTGGGGGCAAGGAGAGATTCTATGGAGTCTCCATCTCTGTCACAGACATCACAAGTCAAGGTGTCTTGTCTTAGATCTTGGGCAGGGCCGTTAAGCTTGCTTGGACTTGATAACTCCCCAAAGAGACTTCGACTGTCCCTGGTGGGCAGGGCTTAAGGGAAGCATGAGTGAGTGCTTTGGAGGCCTTGGGTGCTGGAGGACAGGAAGCAGGACTGGCGGGAAAGGGGCTTAGCTGGAGAAGAGGATGGGACTGGAGTTGGTCAGGGGCTGTAGGGACATCTGAATGGGGAGCCAGGAGATGCAGACCATGCCATCCTGCAGTCCTCATTCTGTCATTAAATCTGAGAAGCGACCATGTGGGTGTGCCAGCTCACCCGCCCTCACCGTCACCTCATCAGGCATGAAGTGCCAGGATTAAAGAAAGAAAGAAACGAAAGGAAAGGAAAGGCCTCATTACATGGCTGGAAATCCTCACAGCAGATATAAAATTTTATGAGTTGCCTATTGCCCAGCACCCCGTGTTTTTGACATCCCCCGTTTCACATACAGTACTTTAAACACATGAGACACAGGCATTACTGCTAAAAAAATTTTTTTTCACCCTTTTCATTTTTCCCTCCTTTCTGTCATGGCTTAGTGGGTAGCTCTGAAGTTTTAATACTGAAGGGCCCATTTCATGTTATTTATTACCTTGCTTGTGTGAACGCCGAGGCCTATAAATCGTCAACACAGGCTGTCTAATTCCAGCAACAGCAAGGTTTCGTCACATGTAATTAAAAGATCCCAAAGCCATTGGAATGTAATGGATTTGGAAATGACACCATGGGGGCAAGGGGAACAGGCCCGTGAAGAGGCAGCAGTATTTCAAAGGCTCTCTTGCAAGGTTGGGATCGATGGGGCCACCTGGCAGGGCTCCAGCAGGCCTAGCTGATGTGGGGGATAAAGGAACTGTCTGGATTTGCTCTTATCTTCGGCTCTGGGAACACACCTTTGTCATTCCCACCTCCACAGAGGTGTACAGAGTAAGTGAACTCACACATTCCTGCAGCCTGGCCTGCCAAGGCTCAAGTTCTGACAGCACTGGGCTGCTGCCATCTGGCAAGAGGAATTCTAGAAGCAAGGAGATAACACAGTCTTACGGGCAGACACCATGTCCTGGGCAGCAGGTACGTCTGGGTGTTTACCTTCTGTACAAATAAAACAGGACTCTTTCTCTTGTCTACCATATCCCCTGAAACTGTTTCTGGTTCTTGTAGGCCACATGGTTGCTTTTCAGTGACTCACAGTTTGTAGTCAAATGAGAGCTCTGTAACTCGCTGCACATAGACCCTTCCTCTGAGTTCCCTGAGGACCGTCTCTACCCAGTTATTGGAGCATACTGGGGCTGGGTTAGTCCTCTGTCTATTTTGCTGCCTTACTAGTTTCATGGGTTCCTCACAAGCACAGACTGAGCACATATCTTTTCTGGCCCTGGTGGCTTTGAACTGGTCATCAGAGGTATAAGCCACTTCCTATGTAAGAAAAGAGGAGAGGGAAAAGGAAGGAAAGGAAAAGATTAGAAGGAAAGAAATAGGGGAGAAAAACATGATCTTTTGCTATCACTGGTCTTTTAAAAATATGGATAACTTGACTCTTGTATGATAGCCCCCATCAATTTATATTCCCTAGTGTTCAGAGCCTATGTCTCCCCCAGGGCACTAGGGTGGTGGGTGTGACTAACAGTCTTCAGAAGTCATGGCCAATCTGTTTAGAAATCAGTTTATTAAAAAGATTATGGTTTAGTAAATTAGTGGTTGTAGATTCTCCTTGACCATGTCGTTAGCTAGGTTTCCAATACCAGGGATGGTTCTCCATTTGTTGAGCAGTTCTCAAACTCAATTAGAGAGCTGTTGGTTACCACTAAGGTGTGTGTGCCACTACTGTGTTCTTCTGGTTCTTGTGCCATGCTGGTCATTGATATGGTTCATAGGTGTCGTAGGGTCAGGTAGCTGCATAGGACTGTTGACTGCCTTCTTCCTCTGGAAGTTTACATGGCACCTTCTGGTACTATGAAAGCTAATCTTCAGGGAGGGGGCCTTTCAGGTCAGTTCAAGCTCAGGGGCCTGTGGGCCCTGTTTCTGAAGTATGCATGGTGTCTCTAGCAATAGCAATATCAGAAGCTATACCTGTAAAGTCTCACCAAATTGATTCCCTAAATATGAGCTGAACATGGACAACACCAAGGATTATGTCAAACTGGGTAGAGAAAAACCCATGCAGCCTCAGCCCTATGCAAAGAACTGTAAGCAACTGAGGAAAGCTGGGAAGGGGAGAGGCGGGCTTCCTCAGAGAAGAGTACATCAATTGGTTGCACAGAGCCAGACGGTCAGCTTTGAAAACATACATCCCTGTAGCATTATGTGAACTGAACAGATTATAGTTAGGAATATACATGCATATACATAAACTTATATGCATGCCATAACAGTTTAAAAGAGAGACTGTGAACTTGAAGGAGAGCAGGAAGGGGTATAGATGAGGGCTTGGAGGGAGGAAAGGGAAGGGAGAAATATAAACAAATTATAATCTCAAAAAAAATCATGATTTATGTCTTGTCTCTCCTCTTAAGGAAACAGGCTGCCATGTGTGAAGAAACCTGTGGGGGGTTCACCTGTCTAGGACCTAAAGCTTTTGGCTGTAGCCAGCCAGGATCTCAACCTGTCAACAGGCAGGTAATGATCTTAGGAGTGAGTTATCCTAACTGAGCACTGAAACGACTTAAACCATCTTGGACAATAGCATGGATGAAACCTTATGAAAGACCCTGAGCCAGAGACACTCACCAAAGCCACCCCAACATTCCCTCACTGCAGATTCTGAGCTAATGAATATTATTTCAGTTTTCTACAACCTGAAGTAATGAACACACAATGAACAAATAACAAAAACCTATCTACACTAAATTTTTTAAGCTTTACTTTTATTTTGTAAGTGTGGATATTTTGCCTGCATATGTATATCTGCACAGCACATAAGTAGATTTTAATCCCACGTGTCTGGTATCATTTTAAGAAGACAGACTCGCTCATGAAGACCATGTGAAGATGAATGCAGAGATTAAAATACATGTCAAGAACAACAAGGATTGGAGGCCATCATCAAAGGAGGCTTAGAACAACACCAGGAGATTGATTCTTCTACTAATTCCATTAACATCTTGGCTTGAGAAATTTAGTTTCCATATTGTGAAAGAATAAAATCTGTGTTAGCCACCATGTTTGTGGTCCTTTGCTATCTCAGTCCCAGGAAGGTAACATGCCTTCTTGATACACTTTTAGGAACTGATCTCATGACCAGAACTTTCTCGGAATTTATAGGCCACCTGTTGATCGTTAGCAGACCTGGGGTACCTTCCAGAGAGTTCCTTCTCTCGTAGCTAATGCAATCAATCTACCTCCTCTAGGCAGCCCTCCTATGAAGCCTAAGAGGAGGGAACTTGATTTGTTTAGCATCTCTCTGCTTAAAACAGCAGGACATCTGAAGAATTAACACGTGTTTCTTGGCCTAGGATGAGGCTGGCAGTCTGTCCTACCCACCCATTCTCGCTCATGGATATGCTGACTTTCTGATTAAATGACATCAGAGGACAAGAAACAGATCTGTGCCCTTCGTTGCCTATTGTTCCAACTCGGGGATGTGCACGCTAGTGGATAAGGGCTGTTTCGTAAGTGGGGCTTTTGGCTTTGCTATTTTACAAATGAGGAAACTAAGGCCCAGGTAGAAAAAGTGGCTCCAAAAGATTAAAGACAAAGAAAGGCCTTTATGTCACCTCTATTCTGTATTTCTGACCTATTGGCCACTTTATTCATTTCTGTGACAGAAACCACACACACACCCTAAGGAAGTGGGGGGGACACATCTGTTTTGGTCTGTTATTTGAGAGGGTACAGTCTATCATGGCAGGGAAAGGCATGACTGCTGGGGTGGCTTGACAGCTGGTGATAATGGTACCTTGGGCACAGCTTATTACATCTCTGTGGATCAGGAACCAGAAAGACTGGTGGAACCAGGGCAGAGCTATTACCTATAAGTCCCTGCTCCAGTGACATACTTCCTTCAGATAGGCCCACCTCCCAGTGGTTCTCCACCTCCTACAAGAGCACCACTGGCTGAAGAACAAGTCCTCAAATACATAAGATGGTAGGAGGCATTTCACATTCAAACCATAACGCGGACAGTAGGACTTTCTGTTTAAGTCAACAAACACATACCTAGAGGCATTTGCGAAGCCACTCTACAAGATCATGGGCCCACAGTAGGCTCAAACTGGAGCCCTTTGCTTGTACAATTCTGGGAAATTATTTAGTCTTGCTCCTTCATCCTTCATCCAAAATTTATGATGGAAAGACAAATTTCACAGGAGACATATCTTGGGAGATTACACATGGATAGCACCAAGAAACTGGCGTGTCAGCTCCTTGCTGTGGACACTTAATAATCCCTAATCTCTCAGTTTTCACTCCCAGTGTTCATATTCCAAGCCAAAAGAGGGTAGGAACAAATTATAATTTCAACAAAAACTTTGTCTGTTGTCATATTCAGTTTGAGCTGGAAAACTAAAAAATAATTGAAGTATTTAATCTATCTCAGTGCTGATAATAGGCATTATGTAATCTTTCTTAGTGCTAACAAGATCTTTTATCAGTTGAAAAAAAAAATCCAGAAATATTCACTGGGCCATCCTGAGTAGAAAAATGAAGCGAGACCTTGGCGTTTTGGAAAGATCTTCAAAACTCAGAGCCGAAGCTGAAAGTTTTCTGACTTCATTTTTTGAATGAAGGACTGCGTGTCATGCTAGATGGGAGGGTGGGCATGAATTATAGACATGGATCAAACACTGGGTATTGCTAATCAGCTAACCCATTTAATTGGAAGGCAATGTATCTTAAGAAATCTAGCAAATTGAGCTTTTGTAACATGCTAATGCTTTCAAGACACTCTGTGATATAGTCAACAGCATTTCGAGCTGAGAATAATTTGCCATGAACTGACCTGACATGGGAGCCCCAATCCAGGGATGTAGAACTCTAAGGTATGTAGTCTTAGTAACTCGACTGTCTGTGACATGGCTAAAGGCTACATCCAAATCTCATAATTTGTTTCATAAGAAAGTAAGGAGGAAATAATCTGTCTGAAAAAATTACCCACAATTTTTAAAAATGATGATTATTGATGAGATTCATTTGACCACAAGAACCTTGATTTATATTTTAGTAGATTTCTCTATGTGATCCTCACTCTTGATTTATAGTCAGAGTATCTGGCAAGTGTCTGGTACATAGCAGATGCTCAATACATACTTGATGAATGAATAAAAAGGAGAACTTGTCGAAGGATTGTGACTTTTGATTTCAAAAGAATTCACTTATGTATAGTATCATGCTTTCTCATGAATCTCTTAAGAATATCAACTAAGTAGACATCTGGGGCTCCTTTTGAGAGCATGGTGAGGGATCATTGTCAACTTCTCATAAGAATCAGTCATGAGAACTATCTTTGGGGCTTGCTTTGAAGCCTGGGAATTCTTTGGGATCCTGGTCAGGTTTCATGTCTATTGAGAGAAACAGAAGAAAATAGAGAAGTTCATTCCAGGCGCCTATGTACTTGAAACCATCAGGCATAAGATAGGCCTCACACAAAGCCCTTCAGAGAAGGAATGCCATGCAGGAATGCCATGCTGAAAAGAACAAGTCAGGAGGTTATTTGACCCCACTCTCTAGCACTTTGGTCTTTTATAGTACGCCAAAACTCCTTTTCTTACTGGACAATTGTCTCTAATCACGCTGAGTCTTGGGTTACAATGTGACGAGAATGAAGGCCAGGAGAGGGAGTGGGAAAGAGAGACAGCTGAGGATGAGCATTTGGTATTTGGGCGAAAGTGAGGAAGCTATTCATGTTTCCTAGCGATCTAGCATGTGCCTGGAATAAAGGGGTCTTAGAAAGAGGAAGTCAAATAGATATAAAACCTATCTGTTCTTTAAACCATCTGACTTACCAGACTAGGTGTGTAGATGTACAAATTCTATATCTTGGACTCATCCCAGTCTCCAAGGGCTCCTCATACAGAATTGTATACCACGTCAATATACAGTCAACCAGTCAATAAGAAAGTGGACAATAGAGAGATATCTGCTTTACTTTTTCTTCCTTGGAGACAGGATCATACTACTTAGCCTAGCCTGAACACAAACTTCATGGCCCTTCTCTCTCAGCCTCCTAGAGATTCGGTGTTGGTTTTCCAACACAGACATTAACATAATGTTCTAATAGACATTAGATTTTGTGATAGCTACTATTGCCACCTTACAAACAAGGATTTAGTATTTAGTTTTTTCTTATGTCAGGAGTTTGATCAGGGATCTTAGATGGAAGGATCTTCTTGGGGTAGTTTAGCTGCATTCAGTAAATGGCTGGGCTGGACAGCATAGGAAGCCTTTGGTGACATGTTCAGTGTTCAGATATTATCCTGGGTAGCCTCTTTCTCCATATGCTGTCTTAAAATTCTGAAGTCTAGCCCAATGTAGACTACAACTGCTTGTGATTTACATCTCGGGGAGACAGAGTGCGGTGCAGCTACTCTGAGGTCTTAAGTCTGAGTAAGGACACTGGTAGAATCCTAAGATGTCAAGCATAGGTAAATCTTACACCAGTCTAGATTCTGAAGACAAATTAGAAACTACAAGGATGCTCTTGTGAGCATAACGACAGCTTTTAAAGGTGCTTCTTAAATCTAGAATAATTATGTATTCTATGCATAGAGGATATTATTTAGAAAAAAATTCCTGAGATGCATTTAAATCTTCACAAACAGACATATACTCCTAAGGTCCTTGTATCAAAGATATTTTCTGGTTGTAACTTCCCAGAATAGATGCGAACTACCCAGCATCCATTCTGATTTTCAAAACTCCACTTCTCACTCAATTTCTTCTGTTTATTTGAGTTTATTTTACCTGTGTTTTGTGGAGGGTCATGGTGAAATTCTTCCTTTTTGTGGGGCGGGGCAGAGTCTTTTTTACATAGCCCTGGTTGCTCTGGAATTTGCTATGTAGATACACTAGCCTTCAACTTGCAGAGACCCTCTTACCTCTGCTTCCCGAGTGCTGGGATTAAAGGCAAGTGCTACCTTGTATAGATTAATGATGACTTTCTTAGCAATCCCTTCTTTGTTTATAAAGTCTGTGCTTCAGATTATTAAAATATTCAGAGTGTTAGAATCCACATCATCTTTGCTTAAATTTTAGCTCCTTCACAATCTTTTGGTTATTACTTTTGTTTTGTTTATGTAGCACAGGGTCTTACTAAGAGCCTAGGATAGCTTAGAACTCACCTCATAGTCAATATTAGGCTTGAATTGTAAATCCACTTCTAGAGCTTTGATGGGGAACCATTGTCAGCCAATGATCTTTAAAGGTTGGGCCAAGTTAGGGTGTGACCTTTTGGGTACCCAGAGAAAACCGACCACCTGCCCAGGACTCTCTCTCTGTGGTTCCCACGCTACACAGCTGAGGTTGGACTTCTTGTTCCTGTTTCATGGGTTTGCCCCTTATAATAAAAAATATAATTAAAATATTTTGGAGGTAGCCTGGGATTCTTTGACCCATGTCCTCACCCACCAACAGAGCTTCCAGACAACTTTGCACTTTGGCTCACTTCCTCTGTCCACACTTTTCTCTGGGCTTTCTGTTCCAGCCACATTAGACACTCGATTGGGCTCCTTTCCTCTGGAGCACAGTTCTTTAACACTAGACACTCTGTGACCCTCCACTGACCTCCCAAGTTCATGCCAATGTCATTTCTTATCTGAACTCTAGCATGGTCCTACTGCTTCCTATTTGCTGGGTTTTCTGCTTAATTTCTTTATCTTCCAGAGTAAATTACTATAAGCTACTTGACTCCGATAGTCTTCGAGTCTTTGTTCTGCATTCCAAGTGCCAGGCACAGTAAGGTTTCGCTGATTGCCTGTGATTCCTGACAGCCAGCCTATTGGTTAGCTTTCTCAGAAGAACTCACCCCTCAATTGAGGTATGGCAATTAACAATTAATATTTTTCAGAGTTGAAGCGTTTTGACAGTGATTAGCAACTGTGTCATGCACAGAGAATCTTCT